ATACTGTCTTGTTCTACACTGTTATACTTTGTATTTTATTTAACCTCAGTAGGGTCCTGACCTTCCTCGTCACTACCCGACCGAGGTCAGGCTTGGCACTTATTGAGTACCGCTGTGGTGTACTCATGTCTTTTCTGCACATGTTTTTCATGTGCAGATCCAGGTACTTTCACTCAGTCTTATCATCCTTAGGGCGAGGCGCTTCTGTAGAAACTTTGAGGTTTATCTGCCGCGTCCGCAGACCGAAGAGTCCCTTTCTATCTTTCAATAATAGTATAGCCCTTCAGTGCTTCCCTTTTGTTAGACATTTCTGGAGTTAAAGCTTCTTATGTATCTCTTAGCTTGTGATTCATGGGTTTCCGGGTCTCGGAAGTATATATTTGTTTGAGAGTTAAATATTGTGTATGCCGAGCGGCACTTCTAAACATTGTTTTATTTCTCTAATTCTGTCTTAGATCGTTTAATTTTCGCAAATTAGTTTATCTTCTGCAATTTAGGCTTACCTAGTCGTAGGGACTAGGTGCTGTCACGATGGTTCACGGAGGGCAAACCGGGATCGTGACAACACCCTTTGTTAGTGGCTTATGCAAGGGTGTTCAAAGTCTACTTTTAATCAATCACAAGTAATATTTTACCTTATACGTAGTATAATTTTTTGGCGAAGGGTGGTCAACTGACCACCCTTGGACCAGCATAGCTTCGCTACTGCATACAAACACACATATATATATATATGCAGAATATGGTTTATAAAATTGCATCTTTCTTCTCCTAAAAAAAAACTAATAATGCAAGTGTAAACGGTGTCTTAATAAAATAAAATGTAAAATTGGGGTAAGCACTTGAGTAATATAAATATAGTATACTCCATTGATAAATTTTCAAAGTTCTTCTAGTCTTTTGTGATAAGAAATTACTGTAATTGTTCATATTTTCAACCTTCCACACCTAATAAGGTCTCAACTATGACTTTTAGACCATGACCATTGTCGTATACTCTTAACCTTCACCTTTCCAATATACGTTTGATTTTATTGAAACGTCATTGACATTTATAAGTTCTGTAACTAAACCTATTACTCATTTTAGTTGGTGTATTCGTAATTAAGTAGTTATTCATATATATTAAATTTGTTAGTACAAATATAGAATCTAAATAAAAGTTATTGGATTCATCCGAACCGATAACTAATTGTAGCTCCACCCTCATACTTTTTGACTATACATGCATGCACATAATGACCAATTGACCATCATCCATGTACATGTTCATGCACCACATAAATATCTATGTACATTCATACCACAACACAAATTTTTTTTACCAATACTTCAAAGAAATTAAATAAACACACCTGATATTATAAATTAATCTGCACATGATATTTCGGAAAAATCGGAGCAATTAAGACTAAGGTAGAAATTAAGTTTTGTGGGTAGCCTCCTTGGCGTAGGATAGAGGGAATCCTAGTTATTTTTATTTTCTTTTTAATTAATCAAGCGTACAAGAGATAACACTTCACACACAAAAAAATAAAAAAAAAAATCTATGATATATAAAAGATGAGAATGTCCACTATATAATAGCAAAAATAAATAAACAAATAATATTCTTTTGTTCTTTCTACGCCTCCGTTAAATGTTTACTCCATTTATTGATTCTCCAGCTTTAAATATTGTAAAAGATTGCTATTCATAACAATAGGAAGGCTAGTAAAGCTTTCCTTTATGCCCTCTAAATTTTTGGGTCCCCAAAAGAATTTTAGTTGTAGATATACTATCTTATTTTTGCTTAGATAGTATTAAAGTTTATAGAAAAAACAAAAAAAAAATATAAAATCCTTATAAAAATGGAAAGAAACACTATCTATTTTTTAAAATAGAAATATTTTAAAACTTTGAATTAAGATTCTCAAATCTTCATATTGATAAATAACATTTGTTACAATAAGATCCAAGGTAACAAATCGTAAATGCGTAGCTAACATCTTTTAACTTGAATTTTCTTACCAATATGAATATTAATATTATATTTTATAAGATAACTACACTATAGACGAAAAGAAAGAAAGAAAGAAAAAAAGAAACCGGTGTAATATTAATACTATATTATGCAAGATAACTATACTATAGACAAAAAAAAAAATTAAGGCCCCTTATTAAAATTTGGCTTTAGGCTACGAGTTTTATTGAGACGCCTTTGAATTTAATATACACCCATCTTTTGCATGATAAAATGAAAAAATGCAACGAATAAACTCTTTTTTTCCTCCAACGGAACATTATATTAATATATAATAAATTTTTTAATACAAATACATAATCCGAACCTGTAACTAATATTGCATCTTTGCCCTCATATTTTTATGACTATACATGCATGCACATAATGAACAATTGACCGTCGCTCGCTTACATGTTCATGCACCTTATAAATATCTATGTACATCATACCACAGCAAAAAAAAAATTAGCAGTACTTTAAAGGAATTAATCAAACACCCTGATATATTATTAATTAATCTGCACATGATATTTTGGAAGAATCGGAGCAGTTAAGAATAAGGTAGAAATCAATTTTTATGGGTAGTTCCTTGGCATAGGATAGAGGGAATCCCAGTTAATTAATCAAGTGTACATGAGACCACTTCAAAAAAAAATCTATGATATATATAAAAATGAACGAATGAATGCTATTTTTTCCACTAATGAACATTATATATTAATTCACTATATGTCTAACTCTCAATTTATCAATTTTGTAATATTAAAGTTTCGTCTAAATTAAATTAAATAAAAATTTCGCCTTCCAAAATCAAGTGTCATTTTAACGATCTAAAAGACTACAATTAATTTATTATATCTTTTTCTGTACTATATTTATTATATATACAAGTAAAAGTACTATACAAGATACTTTCTTTACATGAAAATAAAAAGAGAGATAATTTCTTAAAACAATAAAAGAAGTAAATATTGAAGAAACAGCGCAGTCTTCAAAACGGCGCAATCCATGCAAAAATCTACTCTGCTGACGATGGCCACACGTGAAGCCTATTTACTCTTTGAACAACACCCCATTCTTTGACTTACACGTGTCTTTCCTCTCACACGTGCGGCTCATTCTATAAAAATCTATGCTTATCTCTTCTTTACTCTTTTTACTACCCACCCACCCCTTACCCTTTCAAACAAAAAAACAAAAAATATATATATTAGCTTCTAGTCAGTGTTCGATACTCGCATTAAGATCCGACAACATTTAGATTAGGACAAATATTTTCATATTAAAACGCTGTCTCACAATTGCAGCTCCATACCCAGGGCTCAAATCTGATACCTTTGATTCAGGGGCGGAGGTAGGTATTATTTACGGGTTCGACCGAACATAGTAGCTTTTGCATAGACTTACTGTTTTCATTAGAAAATCTATCAAAAATGTATTACTCTCACCGGTCCACTTTAAGTAATTTTTTGGTTTTTCAAACATATTAAGGATCCACCTTTTAGCATTAATTTAATAATATAATTAACCATATTAACCTTAATTTGTTCATTTAAAATACAATAAATACTCCTAGACTCTTTACTCCAAATGCAACTTTGAAAAAAAGAAATTAATTTTTTCTTGATTTTTGGTAAATATTAAATATTGTGGACCACAAAAAGAATGTCAAAAAATCAATTAACGTGGACCAGAGGGAGCAATGTATAATTGTGAACTCAATAATGAAGATATGGTATAGGTTTGACGTCAAATTCAGAACCTATAAACTTTAAATCCTAGTTGATTAAGGACCAAAGAATACTTATAACTCTACGAGTCGGTAAAAACAAAATACATAAAAGCCTTTTGTGGGTGTTGCTGATGTTGTCATTGCGTAATACATCTTTGACTTTGTGTTTGCTGCTGTTCTTATTGTTAGTTGGTGAATTTGAGGTCAATGTTTCATTAAATTAAATTAATACTTAATTAACATTACCTCAATCCCAATACTAATCACTTAACAAACAAATAAAATTATTAAACAAATGTTAATTTTCCCAATTCTTGCGGCAACAAAATAGCAGTTTTTAATGCAGGACTACTTGTTCAAATGTTTTGGTCTACCATGTGACTTCTGCTCTTTTAGGGTCTGCAGATTATGTCGTACACGTGGCACTTGTTTGGTTGTCAATAAGGAATAATCATTTTCTCATTATCTTTTCTTTGGTTATATTTGATTAGACTTATACTTACTCAAAATTAATAAAATCCAACTTCAAATATACCAAATCTTTTTTTTTTTTGTTTATTTAAAAAGAATGCTTGGAATTTCTTCCCCCTTTAGGATAACATATCTTGCACGTAAAATATTCAAAATCCTTTAAATATATACTTTCTAAATCCCTTTATCCAACAATGATGTTGACAAAAAGGCTTCTTAGATTCCAACCAACAAATTCCTTCATAGTCGACTATGAAGGATTTAAATGCAACCAAATTATGCTTTATACATAGGGTATCATTACTAATATATTACTATTTTTTAAAGATATATATATCAAACATTTGTCGAGGGTGCCGATAACCCCTTCTTTTACAACATACGTCCGCCTCTTCCTCATGTCCTCCATATGATTTAGGTTTAGGTTTAATGTTGTATTCCTAGAACAGGCTCTGCCCTTAACCTGAAGACTATATTTGTCACTCTTTTTGTAATCAAGAAACTACAGTATTACATTTGTTGTTCCGGTGGTGTATGCATTACAGAGACGGATCAAGAATTTTAAGCCAATTGACGCAAAATATTATGATACTCATTATTCGCATTGATTTAGTATAAATATATACATTTTTTGAAAATTTTCAACTATATAGAGTTCGAGTAGAAGATAGTGGATGTGCCTATCCTCGTTGCCGAAATTAGGATCACCCCTAAAAAAAAAAAGTCAGTCCGGTGCACAAAGCATTCCGCATTCACGAAGGGTCCGAGTAAGGGCCAGCTTGGGGTATGATATAAGCAGCCTAAACAAACTAAGTTTATAGTTTCTCAAGTTTTTAACTGTATGCAATAGATAGAAAACAATAACAGATTTTTCCTTGTACAAACTAAACAAAAAACTAGAAGTAGCATTACTTAGCCTTCTTAGAAGGCTTTCCATTAACAAATTCTAAAATCAGCAGACAAAGCCTACAAAAAGCAAGCCCCTCTTGTTCTTTGTAGGTATTGTCGAAACAAAACTCAGAAACAATTCCAAGAAACCTAGAAAGTAAGCATACTGTCCTTGAGAAAAACAGCGTTCGAACTGAAAATTTTGCTGAACCGCAAACTTCACTCTCGAACTTGGTAAATATCTTCTTTAGCATGTCCGAAATCGTTAAAATGTTAGGAACAGAGGACTCGATCATCCAGCTGTACAGCTCGAAAGGAAAGTGGAGATTTACTCATCCTCTCTATTCCCTGAGTCCTACATTGTCGCTGCTTGAATCTGTTAGAATTGTTAACCTTCGTGCTGTTCTGATGAAGTCGCTGCAAAATAAAGGAAGAAAAGACACATTAAGAAGGTTTTGTCAAGGCGAATATTACATTAAATTTTGGATAAAGTGGATATAGAGTAGAGTATCTCATACGTATGGGAAAATTAAAGACGCACCTATATGGTTCGTCACCAAGTTGCTTGACTGTGCCAGTGATATCTCGGTAAAGCACATGACTAAGCATCTCTGAGTTTTCAATGCCAAACATATTTGCCAATTTCCTGCATAACTCCTCATAAGATCCTATCGATGAAAGATCCAGAGTGCGACCTACATCTTCTGATTCCATAAAAACCTTGCAGTGTCCAATCTCAGTATTTGGTTCGGACTGAAATGTGTCACGTGGTGAGCTTTCCGTTAGACCACGTTGATTAAGTGCAGAGCCTGAGCCATCAGAAACATTACCTATTTTATCTGCATTCCCGTCCGAGGAACTATTCCCTGTACGAACAGTAGAAACAGTATCTCCCGAGCAGCTAAGTGAGATCTGCTGCTCAGTAAGTATAGGTTGACCGAAAAGCACGAGTTGTGGTGCTTTCCCAATATCAGATTTCTTCGTAGTGTCCTGAGTAGAATTTCCCATGGTTAGCAAGCAAGAAATATTCTCACTGTTGCATGGCTTGCGTATCATTGGACTATTCGGGGGTCTAGGGTGTGCTGCAGCCTGATCAAGTGGCGGAAAACCAACATGAAACAAACTAGAATGCAACTTATTGAGGTGGATATCTGATAATGATAAACCATATTGAGCATGCCTGGCTCCCTGCATGCCAGCAGGGGTGTTGTCAGGAAGACAACCAAAGGGGCTATTAGGCCCTAGGAGGTGGTTGCCGGAGAAAGCCGGCATAGGAAGGTGGTGGCCATCAAGAGGAAAATCTGGATGTTGAGGTAATCTTAGTTTCTTTCGTGGGGGTGAGAAGGGAGAAAGATGAATGGTAGGCATGTTTGAGACTAACTCCACAAGCCATGGGCTGACACGTTTCACATTTTGAAGCAGATCAGGTTCGTCCCACGTCACCTGCAGCAATTTATCTCAACTTAAGAGAAGAACATATTAAATTATAAGTAACAGTAGATTAATTGTTGGCTTCCATCCCCTTCTTTGGCAAGTAATAACTCAACCCCCTGTTTGGGAAATATAAGCTACCATTTTTACCCCGCCGAAAAAGAGGTAGCAGAAAAATTGTGCATTACAAAGTTTATACAGATAGATCACGGCAAATATTGTTCGTCAAAATGCGGGACATATCTCCAACTTCACAAGATCACGGGATTCATCAGAAATCTTGTTCTAGAACATAAAAATTCCCTGATAACCAACACAAGGAGCATATTTCTCTTTTTCTATAAAAGAAATTTGAAGTAAAAGACAAAATCAAATATGATATACTCTAGAAAGAATGTTTGCAGCACCATTTAAGTGTATCTTTTCTTTGAACAGATTCGAGTCCTATTACTATATTGAAATACCCATGCGAATCAACCTATGAGAATCTGTCAATCGAACAATGGGCAGAAAATGCTGGGAGACAAGACTAAATATACGTGCTTACAGCAGTACACAAAGATCATATACCTGAAGAAGCCTCCACGGTGAATCTGGCCATCGCATAGGATCGGCAACCTGGACTGAAGATATAGTTCCCATGAACCAGCTTATCCTTGAAGAATCTTCAGTTTCGAAAGGCATCTTGAACCTCATCCCCGAGCACCAACGGATCTGCAACGCAGACTTCACAAGCGAGGCCTTAATGCAGAATTCTGGAGTGCTCGCACGAGGATAGTAGATCACCTCAAATGGCTGTCCACTGGCTGCAAAACTTGCAGCTTCAATGACTGATTCTGCCTTCACCTTTCCCCTGTTCATCAAATTCCCACTACTGTTTCCATTCCCCCCATTTCTCATTAATTTATTCTCGTCTTCCCTGAGAAAACTGGAAAACCCTCCATATGGTACCATACAATTCCCACCAGCCGGATTCCAGCCAGAAGAAGTCTCAGGTCCACCTCCAATTCCCCTCTTTGCCCGCCTAATGCCTACACAAAGGTCCCCGTTTTCGGCTCTCAAGAACACAATGGAATCGCCAGCAACAAGCTTTTTATGGTTCACAAAAGTACTCCATCCTGTTGTTAAAAGATGGCGCCTTGGCGTACCCCTGTAAATATGTCTGAATTTCCACGTCTCCCCGTGAACATCCTTAGCAAGGATGGTCTGAACAGGAGGATCCGCAGAGTAGTCCAAACGAGGAAAGATCGTCTCTGCACAATACCTCGGAACAGAAAAACCACCACCATTATTTGCATCAGATTGTGTCAATGTCTTTGCAAATGAAGCAGGTTTATCTTGGTTATCCGAACCGTTCATCCCAACAACCCCATCATCATCAAGTTCAACTTCATTCCTACCAACAGGAATCAACCTAATCTTGGCGAAAACCTCATCAGTCTCAGGATCTGCCATATATTTAATAGCCGAGACTTTACACGGAATATAAGATGGAATCCTAATGTTGGAGCTCCTAAAATCGACATTTCCACAGGCGTGCTCCGAGTGTCCTTGAGGAAAGTAAAACACTTTTGAACTAATTGGGGGCATTTGTACCATACTACCAGCACAAGCATGCCATAGTTGAGAATCTAAGCACTTATCTATTTCCTTCACTTTGTCCTTTGGATCCATAAAAGTAATCATCTTGATTTCAACAGAATTTTACAGATATGACAATCAATTCAAAACCAACTCTTTAGCTCATAAATACTACTTATTTCCCCATTAGGATGACTTGTTTTCACACTTGCAATGAAAAATATGCTGCCATCAAATAAAAGATACAAATATTCTTTAGGCATATTAATTGCACTATACCAATTAGCAAAACAACAATAGAAATGAAACAAAGTAAAATCACAATATAAATTCAACTCAAATAGTATCAAAGTCCATACCTTTCTATATCTGTTCAACAAAGAAATCTATCTCAAGAGATACCAATTATAAGTACATAGTACTCTCTCAGCAAAAGCATCTCAAAATTCAAGTCCCAAAAAAGTCAAATTTTCTTGAAAGTTTCAGGCCTCTAAAACTCAAGAAAGGGTATTGAATTACCACATAATTTAAAACAACTTGACTAAATTGAACCCAAAACTCCTCATTTTCTTCAATTTGACCACTTCAAAACAGGAAATTCCCTCCTAATCATCCATTAAACACAAAAAATACCCCGCTTCACCAAAATTATTAAGGTTACCAGTAATCTTGACTCACTTTGAGTTCAAAATCAACCCAAAAATCCAAACTTTTCTTCCCAAAATCAAGAAACTCGGTAATTTTGCTCCAAAAAATCAAAAGATTCCACCTTTACACTGTTTCTCCAACACCAAGAACAAAATAACAGCACCCCACTTCACAATTCACCAGACAGAAACACAACAAGGAAAAAAAAGAAAGAAAAAGAAAAACAAGAAAACCCTAACAATCAATCAAAAGTGATGGAAAGTGAAAAACTGGTTTACAGTGTGGCTTTCACTACAAAACTCTTTGTCATCTTTTTGTCTCAAAAAGCAAACAAATATATTCACACAAAGAGAGAGAGCTCTCTGTTTTTTGTATAGATGTATGCATGTATGTGCTACTATGTATACTAATGTCCACACATGTATGTGTTTGTGTGTGTCATGTAAAACTTGTCTCTTTCTCTCTCTTGGACTGCTTTTAACTTTCACCGTTTACCTTTTCTTTCTTTTTCTGTTGAAATTATTTAGGGAAACCCACATTATCTAGCGCGAAGTTAAGAATTTTTATTAAAGGTGTTTAAAATTTAATATATATATATATATATATATATATAATTTTTCGATGAATGTATTCATTGACCATTTTTTAGTATGTGGCCATGCCATTGTCGCTACCCATAGGATGCACATGGAGTAATTTGCTCACTTTGCAATATTCACAAATAACATATGACATGTAAACTGCACTAGGCAAACTCGACGCGACGAGTTTTGATTTAGGAGGTTGTTGGTGATAAATCTATTTTTATGGTTTTTTTTAAGCATATTTTTACGGGGTTTGGTTGGTTGAATAAAATTTTATTTTTCTGACCTTTTTCTTCGGATCTGAAGAAACTCTGCTGTATCTTCAGAAGCCAGCAAAACAACAAAGATCTTTAAAAGCCAGCTATTCATTTCCTTTATGTTATCTTGAATTGTAGTATTAGTAAAAAATAGTATGTTAGGAAGTGTCATTTTCATATTTGTTTAATTGATTAAAAAATTAATTTATTTATTCTCTTGGATTTACTTGATCGTTTTGATAAGAGAAGTTGGATTAATTAATGTAATAATAGTTTGATAATATAGATGCTGGTAGTGAGTCCGTGGAAGATGGGAAGTCAATACTACTCTAAAAGCAAGGCAAACGCTGTGATTTATTAATTAGCCAAAGAATATTAAAATATAGGGTTAGTTTGACTAACCATGGTAGGACACAGATTTAATTTTGACTGAGGTTAACTAACTGTAATTTGACATAACCACCTATTGGTTTGGTTTATTATTAAATTAGTTGCACCTACTATATAATAATACTGCTAATTGTTTGTGTTCCTCCATTTATGTGAGATCCTAAAGGGCTCGTGTGGTCTCCTCCATAAAAAGGTATTTACCGCGGCTGATAGCACAGAGTTAGTCGGTATTTATTTCCCAGATATCATCATTGCTTATTCTTTGGAAAAACAAAGTTCACGACCCGATGGTCTTCCACCTCCACACAACATTGCTCCATCAAATTGTCGCCCATTGCGAAAAATTCTCCAATGCTGCCTCCCGTAGGAATCTTGTATTTAAATTGACAAAAGTGCCTTAATAATACACATCCTTTTTAGAAATAAATAAAATTTTATTTAATAAAATTAAAAGGGAGAAAATCATTTCTCCCTCTAACTTTATGTTAAAAACACAAACATCCCATCTAACTTTGAATTTAGAAGTCCTTTCCCTTGTATAATAATTCACTGGTGATTTTATAAATACAATGTATATTTCACCATTTAAATTATAACCCTCTGCCTTTTGTAAGTATTACGATCCAAAAACCACTAGTCGTAATGGCACCTAACTTGATCCGCTAGGTAAGCCACCTAACAGAAAATACAATCCAAAAGAGATTATAGGAAAATAGTAAAGAATTAGCTGAACATTTACAAATTGACCCAAAAACTTGTAGTACGACTCATGAGCTTCTAAGACTTGAAATTTATGAAGCTGGTACAAATAATTACACGATCTGTTTGAAATTTACATAAACAGATTACCAAAATCTAAGCTACCAAGGACAAGTGGCAGCTATATCCGTAATATACGAGCATCTTCAGAGTCAGCACCCGACATCACCAGCAGCTCCACTCCAAAAATATGTATGCAATGTACAGAAGTGTAGTATCAATACAACCGACCACATGTACTGGTAAGTATTTTGTCTAACCTCGTCGAAGTAGTGACGAGCCTTTTTTTTGTTAAAAGATACTTTCTGATAAAACCTACACTGTAAATCAGCAATATAACTATACTACGATATAATAGAGATGAATACATGAAACGGATACGCAAAACAATAATCGAATGTTAACAGAGATCACAATCTGATATTTTCAAATACCTCGACCAATCCTTTCCTTAGAATGAAGCCAATAAACCATAACTGTCAATTCTTAACTTTCCTAGCACGAGGCATGTACTCAGATATCAAGTCAATTGCACAGCAACACCCTTCGTTCTTTTATCTCATCCTCACCCAATTTAACCAACCAGATGACAGAAATACCGATAATAGGAATTAAAAATTAGGAAAATACATAAATAGCTATAATAAACGAGGATATATATATATGGGCAACAGTAAAAGAATAGGCGGAAAGTATGTGAGTGATGACAGCAATTAGAAACAAGGAATATCAACTACAACTAATTAGCATGATGGATGCCTAAGTACAAATATAACAAATAAGAAGGAAGCACATAATCTTTACAAGTTAACAAGTAGAGGCATGAATGACTAGCATGGTGGAAGGCTTGTACCAAGTGCAACAGAAATAGATATGACATAAATAGATATGACATGAGTGTAATTTTAAACGCAGAAAAATAGGCATAATATTTGCAAGTTAAACAAGCAGAAGATATGAGCGACACAACAACAATTGATATAAAGATAAATGACAGAACAATAGCAACAAGTCACATCAGATCTGAGATTGCGACAATAATAGCTCAAGGCAAAGACATAAACATATACACGGGAAAACAGATATCACAACATAATGCATGTCCCTCATCCTCGCCTGCATGGAAACACCAATCGTGCCATGACCTCACGATGATATAAAAGCATAACAATATAGATAAAATGGCACAGCATCACCCTACGTGCTTTACACTCTCATAATATGGCACGACATCACCCTTCGTGCTTTACACTCACATAACGTGGCACGGCATCACCCTTCGTGCTTTTACTCTCAATAATACGGCACAACATCACCCTTCGTGCTTTACACTCTCTCTTTCACATGATAATGTACAAATAATGGCATGGCATCACCTTCGTAGTTTACACTCTTCCTTACCAAGCATATGTCAATGACAAACAAGGTAGGAAGCATAAATAACATCAAGGGGAGTGTTTTAACGGATATTCCAAACAAATCTCAATCACAACTTTCCAAGCCAACAATGGTTAAATAAACCCTCAAGAACTGTATTATTCAAATACTTCCACAAANTTTACACTCTCCCTCACATGATAATGTACAAATAATGGCACGAAATCACCCTTCGTGCATTACATTCTTCCTTACCAAGCATATATATATCAATGACAAACAAGGCATGAAGCATAAATAATATCAAGGGGAGTGTTTTTAACAGATATTCCAAACAAATCCCAATCACAACTTTCCAAGCCAACAATGGTTAAATAAACCCTCAAGAACTGTATTATTCAAATACTTCCACAAATCTCACAAATGATCCACAACACAAGTATAGAATCTAGTATCTCAAGAAGATCGGCTGTAGCAATGTATTAATGATTAAGCATAGGTGTCACACCTCCTTTTTGCGCGCCCGCCCCGAAGGGTTAGAAATGCGCGGGTGGAGTTTTTCCAATTTAAGTGACAATATTCGAAATGGGATTATTTATTTAATTCAGAGTCGCCACTTGGGAAAGGTTTGGCTTTTGGTGTCCCAAGTCACCGGTTTATCTTGAATCCCAAATCGAGGAAATTTTCGACTTTTCCAAATGAAGTCTGCGAACCAGAAATTCTAAGTAAGGAATTCTGTTGACCCGAGGGAAGGTGTTAGGCACCCTCGAATCCCGTGGTTCTAGCACGGTCGCTTAAATTGTTATAAT